TATTTATCACAAGTATTCGATTTTCTATCATTACTACGCCGTCGTTTTTTGATACGCCAAAGGCTGTATTCGCCTCTGTATGAATAATGTATATTCTTATAATATTATGAGCAGTACCTATCTGCACATAAGATACAACAAAGGCGACTATAGAAACGGCTGGCGAAGTTACGCTAAACCCATGTGGTTCATACACCTCGTTAATATAATAATATGGTACAATATAATCATTATAATAATATTGAGCGCAGTAGAAATTGGTTTTTTTTTTCGTTGAATTTCGTGATATGATGCCGTTACCGATCCAATAAACAATAAAATAACATTTCATCGCAATAATATTGTAAATAGCTAATGCGTGATTTCAAAAACGTGATATCATTGAATATATTTTATAAAAATATTATCGATTCAAAGCACGACCATATCGAGTTCTGAACTATTCCACCCTCCCTCATCCACTAGAAAAAAAATTTACGCTCTARGTATCCCGGTATTTGGAGCTCCGAAGTATGTTGGTTTAAATTGTCGATATAAAATTACAAAAGTCACCTAAATCCGTTGATTCCGAGGCTACAGGTTCCCGCAAAAATGTGTAATACAATCGTGTACAGGGGTGGATGTTTTCTCGTATAGTATGACCGAAATTTTTGCCCACCTCGAGCATTCCTTTTCTCTCTCTTTTAAGCGCACTCACACATACATGATATAAACCACAATATAGGTATTAAACCATACATTTGAGCTAAATGCTAGGATGACGTGTATATACATACATGCCGGCCTTCGGCATTTGCGCTGTTGATCGTTTATATATGATGGGCGTATATCTTTTTGGTAGGTGGCCAAAATGGTACGTGTAACATTTTGACAATTTGACGTTTTAACACAATATTCTAATCTAAAATAACTGCTTTTGAGCACAAAATATTGAGCAAATTATTTTTCCTACATTAAAAATTTAAAATTCGTAGTGTTTATTAAAAACCTAACTATCACATTTTTTTTATTTTTTATTCAATCTGTTTCAAAAAAGAACAATTTGAACAACCGAAGTGTAATAGATAGTAATAAAAAAAATAAATACAAATAATACAGATAGATAGATATAACAGAGCGTAAAAGCCTCCCCCAATGGAGGCACTACAATAAAAAAAGAACATGAATATTAAGATTGAATTAGTTTGTCAGTAAGTTATGTCCCTTACACTTTAGCCGTTTGGGAGGATTTCCAGGGATAGTCAAGGAAGAGATATCATGCATGAGCGGATTTCTGTGGTTTAAGAGGCGGTTATAGAATCTTTTTTAGTATGTTTTAGCCACATCTGCAACAAAGGGTATGGAGAGGTCGTGATGGAGTGTGTGATTGGAAACGTAATAAGGTGCTTTAATGATTTGTCTTAAAGTTAGGATTGATAGGTTTTCATTTTATTGATGTTAGTAGGTTTTGCTGATTCCCAGAGCTGTATACCATAGACCCATGTTGGTTTAAGTAGCATTTTGCATATAAAGAGCTTGTTGTTCAGATAAATATGTTTAAGTAGGTGTCGCAGCTAGCGGCTACGATCATTGAGCGTTAAACGTTTGGAGATTATATGAGGAGCCCATGTGAGCTGGTGGTCTAGTGATAGTCAAAGATATTTGACGTTTTAAGAGTAGGGTAGAGGTTGATTATATTGAGGAATAGTTGTGGACAGTCTCTGACCTATCACATTTAAATAAAATTTAACTTATATTATGTTATATACCCTTGCTACTTATGTCAATTCAACTTAAGTAACTTTAATATTTCAGATATTACTGAGTATGTTTCAATTATTTCGTATTTCAGATACTTCTTTAAACAACTTTATTGGTTAAAATAAAAGTTATTTTATTTTTTGAGTTATTCTGTTAAACTCCTTGTATATAACTCAGCTAGGTTAGTAGGTATTAATAATAGTTATGTTTTTATGTAACTTMAATACACATTATATTGTATTGTAAGTATATGAAATCTATTTGTATAAAATTGACTAAGATCAAACAGATATTTAATCTAACATTTGAATGATACGTAGGTGAAGTTATTGTAACCATATAAAATAATATTAAYGAGTGTTTTTATACCTATTATTATTTATGAAGATCGTGTAATAAATCAAGCCACACTGATATCGTTAAAACGATAATCATGGTGTTACCAAACTCTCAGCTAGTATAAATCTATTTTTTGGAAATATTCTGAATATCATTTCATAAATCTTAATACTATTCTAACTTGAGCCCTTTTTGGTTTTGACCACGTATCAACGATATATCATGCATAATATGACAATTGACAGCGCGGCGAACGCGATATACGAGTGTGTGAACAGGTGGAATGAGACGTGCCGAATAAATGTCGTAAATAACTCAATCGTGTGAATAAAAAAAAAATCCAATAATATAATATTATTCACGTTTGCAGTATCTAAGGCCAAGATCATCGGCAACACGGAAATGTACATTCGGAGCGGGAGTGACATTAACCTGACGTGCGTTGTGCTGGAAACGCCAGATCCACCCAGTTTCATCTACTGGTACCGGGACAGGGATGTCATCAACTATTCAGGCCGCGGTGGCATCAGTGTGGTGACCGAGAAACAGACACGRACCAGCAGGCTACTGATATCCAAGGCCCAACCACCCGACACTGGCAACTACACGTGCGCTCCGTCTGCCTCGGACTCGGCTAGCGTCACCGTTCACGTC